CTGGTGGCACTGCGTTCAAGGCAGTGAGTGACGTCTGGTCTGGCAGCCTGGGGTCCTTTCGATCTTCTTGGCCAGCACCATCAATGGAAAGCATCGGCTCTCCTGCCGTCTCCCTCAGCCACTGTCCTGGTTTCGCCTGCAGGTGAGGCAGTTGACGGCCGTGGATTGGATCGGGCTCACCTTTGTCCTCAAGGGCCCGTCCTCGCTCCTCCATGCTTTGCAGAGACGGCCCTCTTGAATTGTATGACCTTCTCTTTCCCTTTTCCCTCTAAGGCCTTCTCTCTGCAGATTCATCAGAGCCCAGAAGGAGGGGAGCAACCAGGGGGTAAAGTGGGGCCACGAGTCACAAAGGAACGTGTCACATGGGTCATTTTCCCAGGGGTAGTAACAAAACTACCAACCAAGTTACGACCTACCAGGGAGCATCACAAAGTCCACGGAGGAGCTCCGCAATGGCAGTACAACTCGGCAGCGGAGGATCCGTGGCCCAAGATGATACAGGTGGCAGTGGTGGCCTTGGAGAGTGTTTCGTGGTGTGTATTTTTGCCACAATCAGAAAAAAAAAAGTTACATGACTGAGTTAGTTCGTTTCTTGTGCCAACCTGGTTGATAAACACATGTGGGATTAATTGAAGGGCAGAGGGATAAATGGCTTGGTAAGCCTCACCTTTATAGAGTTCTCGGGTCTCTTGTTTGTGATGGTCGCACCAGGGTACAGCTGCCTTAGCAGTTCCCTGCTTCAGCTTGCAAGACTGACTTCCTACAAGACATCCCCAAGGAGAAGCCACATGGACCTATCCCGATGCAGCCCTGGGTGCTGGAACAGCCGTGTGGAGACCCCTGCCAGTGCTGAGATGCTTATTCGTTCACTGACTCAGCTTTCCTCCTGCAGTCGGCATCATTGCCTCTGTTTTGTGAGGTGGAGGACTTTGTGGACTGGTGTTGGGTTAATGTTGGACTTGTGGGCTTGGGCAGCATTGGGTAGGGATGTTTTCTTGATGCACACTTGATCTTTACATAAAACTGTCTTATACATAAATTGCTGTGGATTTGTTTCTCTAAAGTACCCAGACTAATACAATGACCTAACAATGAGAGCGAGGAAGAAAATGTTCTAGAATTGGCTGCAGTGACCATTGTACAATGAACTCTTCTTGATCCGAATGAGTTATTGGATTATTGGGGGGACGTGTGGATGGAGTGTTCATAAAACTGCTGAATCAGGGGCAAGGCTCTGCAACCCAGGCTAACTGTGGCCCTGATCTGGTTTTTTTATTCCAAACCCCACACCTGCTTCCTCCCTTCAGCAAAACACAAAGGCTCCAGGAGCCCCACCTGGGTCCACCCTTCCTGTGGGTGGCCCAGAACCCTTCTCTTTCCTCCTCAGTCATCGGTCCGCAACAACATCACTGGGTGTTTCATTCCTAATGGGCAGTATCTGATTAACTCATTCACATGGAGGAGCTAATGACTTGTTAATAGCTTGATGAGCTGCTTCTTTCAAGGACACCAGCATTTAGAGGGGACCCAGAGACTCTAAGTTCGTTGAGAACAGGCGGCTTTGTACTTCCTTTGTCACCACTTGGTAGACGCTACATTTGTGATAAGTCAATACCAATGGGTGTACGGTGAGATAAACATCTGCATAGAGTCTCCTACAGGAGAGCCCTTACACTGAGTAAGCACTTCTTAGGGATGGCTGTCATTCATTCACTCATCTATTCTTTTTATTCTTTCTAACGCAGCATTTCCAATCACAAAGATGGAGTGAGCAGAGAGTTTCTTTGAGTCTGGGACCTCAGCCATGGCCCATCCCATAGCACGATGAGAAGAGAAGAGAGAGAAATAGAGGCCAGGCCGATGGTTTAATTCCATTTTATCCCTTACGATCAATAATTAATGACGGCCAGGGGACGCTAGCCCTTTTCATAGATGAGGATATGCGATCGATCGCCACAACTATCCCGTGAGGAGATTCTTCTCCTGTTCCCAGTTGCGGGTAGCTGAGGGTCAGAGAGGTTAGGCAAAGCTGCCCTGCTAAGGGGGGAGTGGAATTCAGACCCCTGGGAAGGCCCCTGGCCCCTCTCTGGTATTTTACAGTGGAAGCAGGTCCAGGGGTTCCTAAAGGCAAGCCACCTCTGTTGTCCGGCTGCTGCCTTGGTAAGGGGCATCTCTCTTCCCATACTGGGAGTCCTGCGCCCTGAGGCTGGCTCTGGACTTGGCAGAAAGGCCCAGGAGAGGCATTGGCTAGGGAACCTGAGACCCAACATCCACACAAGTGCCAAGAGACAGAGGCACCCAGGGTACAGAGGAGAGGATGGGTTGATAGGGATGCTGAAGGCTGCACCAAGGAGCTGCTAGGTTGGGACACAGTTCTGAGAGCTACGAAAGGCCATGAGCACCATCCCAAGCTCCTAGTGAGAACAGGGCCTGACTGTACAGGGACTTGATAGAGGCTTAAGGAAGGCAAGTGAGGCGGGAAGAAAGAAGGGAAAAAAGGAGGGGGAGGGGGCGGGGAAGAAAGGAGAAATACACTAGGTGGTCTCTGTCTTCGGGAAGCTTCCACTCCCCCCAGGAAGGAAAGCTACCATGACACCTGACATGACCTTCAAAGCAACTTCAGGGGAAGTGCCCAAGAACTAGGGCTCTAGGAGATGAGCAGAAGTCAGACCTGGGCTATGCTGACCCATGACGCCCTCCTGGAGGAGGCAGTATGGGAGAAAAAGAGAATGAGAGATTGGGAAGGGGAACGAGGGGAGGCCAGGTGAGAGACAGGAGAGAATGAGGAGGTGGGTGGAAAAGGTGGGAAAGGGAGGAGAAAGAGAAAAGCTCTGGGGGCTTAGATAAGACAAGGAAGGCAAAATGTGGGGGAAGAGAATGGATTCCAACTCTACAACATAGACCAAGGGAAGGGGCACGCCAACCAGTCTGACTCTGGGGTTCCTTCCTTCTATGCTACCTACTGGGCCCAGAGCCATGGCTCACCCACGGGCCCCAGCCAGGGCTTATTGGCCAAGGGCAAAGTCCAGGGCAGCAGCAGGGGCTGACAAAGGCCCCAAGAGCACCAGCAATGGGTCAGGAGGCACCATAGAGGAATGAGATTGCCCGGTCATGGGTCCATCACTGCGGATGGTGGCCCGGGACGGAGGAAACCGTGCTGGCATCACAGGGCAGGTCACACCACTGCGTGGGGGCGGGGGGATGGCAGTGTTCAGTGGGTCACCGCTGGGGGGTTTCAACCGGAGCTGTCTTGAAGAGGCCTGGACTCCTGGGAGGCCCCTGCCAGTCTGCGTTCTTGGCTCCCTGGAACCTGGAGAGGCAACAACCATTCACTGCCACGTCGGGAACGGCCCCTCCTTTTGGTCATTGTGGCAAATAGCTATGTAATGAAACACGTGGCCACGTTCGGGTGGACATTCCGTTGGCATCAGTGGTGGCCATCATGTTGTGACGAGTTGCCATGGAGTGGGCGCTGCCTCGCTCGCCCGTGGCGACCCCAGGAGTCACCAAAGGAAATGCTGCCTTCGTCATCTTGGGTAGGTGTGAGTCCAGCCCTGAGCCGTCCATCTCCTCGAGGGCTGCCTCGTTTTCCCCGATCCTCCGCTCTCCCAAACTCGCTGCCATTGTCTAGCCACGGGTCTTTCCCCAGAGGATGGCCAAAGGAAGCAAGATGACTTTTCAGCATCTCCATTTCACAAGGACACCCGGTGGTAGGAGTCTTGGAGTGGATCCTAGTCCCCTCAGCAGTCAGATAAGGAAAACGGGGAAATCCTTCCTTGAGAACCCCAGCACACAGGCCGCGCGCTCTCTTTGCTTCTCTGTACCTCTTTCTTGCTGAAAGTGCACCCCTTGGAGAGATGAGTCATCAGAGGCATGGAGGCCAATGCCACGTCGAAGTCACTGGGGAGGCGGGGAAAGGTGCACCTGGGGTCTTGGCCTCCTGCCTGCAGACCCAGAACCAGACAGTCAGGCACCGAGGACAGGTGGAGCCAGGACAAAGAGTAGGGCTGAGAGTCAGGTGGCCATCACAACTCTGCCTCCCCCTGACCAGGATGTGTCTGAGTCAGGACTTAGTTGAATCAAATTCAGACGGCGACGACTGTGGGGCAAAGAATCGCATGTCCACTGCGAATTTCAACGTTGCCACCTTCCCAACGCCTTCCTCCTTGGTCTTCCTCTTTCTCTCCAGCCTTGCAGGGCTGGACAGCTGTGAACTGCCCCTGGCACAGGCTCCAGCCTGCCTTACTGTGGGAGTTTGAGAGCCCTGAAGTGTGGAGTCCCCGCTCCTCAGAGAACTCACGGAAACACACAACCCATATGCCCACAGTTGGTTCCACTCAGTCCCCTGCCACCAAAGAGGGTCACTCCATCCCCAACACCTGGGCATAGAGCGGCTGCCCTCTGTGTATCTGGAGAAGAGGCTCTTGTGGGCTGTGTCCCCAGGTGGACTGGCAGAGGGGCGAATGCTTGGACGAGCGGCCCATTTCCCGGAAGGACGAAGCTGGGGCTGGGGTCTCCAGATCCCTTACTCAGCAACCTTCTCTGTTGTCCAGGACATCTGTCTACATTCCATCCCACACCTGTCCCCAGAACCCCCAAGAGGAAGCGAGGACACCCGAGAAGATTCGTCAGCACGGGGAGGGTGAGGTGTCGGTGACATCCCCCTGGAGAAGTTAGGCCTGGAGCAAATTACCCTAGAAGAGCAGGTTAATTAGTTCAGGCCCAAATTACACGAGCAAGGCTTGCAAGCCCAGCAATTTGCAGGTTTCGTGTTGTTTCAGAGGTGGGGAAGGCTCGATATCTAGCTCAGCACAGAGAAAATGACTTCTTGCTCCCAGGCAAACCAAACCCACGAATTAAGCTCTTGACGGCCCATCCAGGAGCCCTAGTGCCAAGCACATAAAAGGGGACCCACCAGTCCTCACCACAACCAGCAGGACCCTGTGGGACTCTGACTTCTCCCTTCCTTTCTGCGTCCCAGTACCACCTCCACCAGCAACATGAGCCGTCAATTCACCTGCAAGCCTGGAGCTGCCGCCAAGGGGGGCTTCAGCGGCTGCTCAGCAGTGCTCTCTGGGGGCAGCTCAACCTCCTACCGGGCAGGGGGCAAAGGTCTCGGTGGGGCCTTCGGCAGTCGGAGCCTCTACAACCTGGGCGGTACCCGCACCATCTCTCTCAATGGGAGGAGCGGAGGCTATGGGTTCGGCCGGGGCCGGGCCAGCGGCTTCGCCGGTAGCATGTTTGGCAGTGTGGCCTTGGGACCTACATGCTCAACCGTGTGCCCGCCTGGAGGCATCCACCAGGTCACGGTCAACGAGAGCCTCTTGGAACCCCTCAACGTGGAGCTGGACCCCGAGATCCAGAAAGTGCGGGCCCAGGAGCGGGAGCAGATCAAGGCGCTGAACAACAAGTTTGCCTCCTTCATCGACAAGGTGGGTCTGCCAGGGGCCTCTCAAGATTTCCTCTCCTCCTTTCTACTCTCCTCTCTTCTTGGTACCTGAGGTTTTGTTACAACGGGAAAGACTGAAGCTTAAAGATGGCTAAGACAGGGGCTGTCCCGATTAGGGCGACTTGTGGAAACTTCTGGAAGAGGCTGGTCAGGGGCCCCAGCAGGAGATCCAGAGGAAAGAGACTAGGGCTGAGGGCACGGGAATCCACCTGAGCAGCTGGGAGGGTGCTCTTCTCCCACTGCGTGCTGCCCCTGTCCATCAGCCAGTCAGCCGAGGGATGGGGAGCGTGGGTGTGTGGTCATCCTGAGCCCTGTGACGCAGGCGGGGCTCAGCTCTGGACTGTGTATCCTGGCCATGTTTAAGGAGCTCTTCAGAGGCCTCTGGAGTCAGACCTGGTTTCAGTCACCAGCCGTGTGGCTTTGGGAACCTCTCTCATGTCTCGGTGTCTCCATCGCCTCGTCTCTAAAATATCTGGACAGAATAGCCTTCTGCTTAGGGTGGCTGCCAGGGTTGAAACATGAAACTCGCGTGGAGATCTTGGCACAATGTGCCACCCTAAGTAGATCCAAGCGATGGCTAGTGTCAACAATCCTCGTTATCTCTGCAGGGCTGGGGAGAGGCCAGCGCAGTGGGGAGAATCAAAGGGCTGGAAGCAGTCCCAGGGAAGATCAAGTGCAGATAGGCCCTGGAGTCTAAGAACCGAGTGTACCCCTTTCACAGATGAGTCATCAGAGGCATGGAGGCCAATGCCACCTCTAAGTCACTGGGGAGGGGGGGAAAGGTGCGGCTGGGGCCTTGGCCTCCTGCCTGAAGACCCAGAATCAGACAGTCAGGCACCGAGGACAGGTGGGCGCAGGACAAAGACTAGGGCCGAGAAAGTTGAGTGGCCATCACAACTCTGCATCCCCCTGACCACGATGTATCTGAGAGAGTTAGGAATTTCATTGAATCAAACGAAATTCCGACGGAGACGGCTGTGGGGCCGAGAATCGCACGCCCACCGTAAGTTCCAGCTACATTGCCCTTTGTCTGTGATTCTGACCTTGAGGAACACGCAATGGAAACCAGGCTCCTGTAGAGGAAGCGAAGTCCAACGTTGCTAAAACTGTGGCCCCCAAATCAAACTATGCGGACCACCTCTCTCTTGTCCATTTTCTGGCCCCATCAGGGGTCGTGATGGAAGAGGGGTGGTGTCTGTCCACCTCTTGCCATTGCCCTGCCATCTCTGAGAGAAGATGTCTCTAACAAGGGAGTCAGGGGAGAGAGGAGAAGCTAGGATCAAAGACAGAGGTGAACTTGATCCAGGGTCTTCACTCCCCAGAGCCCTCTCTTGAGCATTGGCGTGCTATTAACTGACCCCCATCTTCAGGATGGCCGCCCTAGCCAACGAGGGGGGAAGGCCTGCCCTGAGCTCTGTCCTGGCATTCCCAGGTTCTCGCAGGCCCCTCAGCTGCTCTGGCCATGGTGGGCTCTGGGTAATGGGGTACACATGGCTTTGTGTAGTTTGGACCCTGACACTTGTCAAACTTTTCAACATTGGGAAGTTGCTAAGCTCCCCCCTGCCACCGCTTCTTCTTCATTGAGTAGAGGTGGTAATTCTGGGACCACTCCCCTCCGCCCCTGCTGGCAGCAGGGGGTGCAGAGGGAAAGTCAAGGAGAGAAAGATGAAGTGCTGTGCCTTGGGGTGGCAGGTGTGACTGTGTCCATGGGGGCTTTGGGTTCCAGGTGCGGTTCCTGGAGCAGCAGAACCAGGTGCTGGAGACCAAGTGGGAGCTGCTGCAGCAGCTGGACCTGAACAACTGCAAGAACAACCTGGAGCCCATCCTGGAGGGCTTTATCAGCAACCTGCGGAAGCAGCTGGAGACGCTGTCCGGGGACAGGGTGCGGCTGGACTCGGAGCTGAGGAACATGCGCGATGTGGTGGAGGACAACAAGAAGAGGTGAGTGAGGAGCTCCTTCCACGGGGCTTGCGTCCTATGGGCCCGGGCAGGGGGCCCCCACATCTGCAGCAGGCCCTTGGACTTTGGGGATGGGGAGGCCAGTGTCCTGGGTCACAAGTAGCTCAGTGGCTTTGACAAGCCTCTGGGACTTTCTCCCTGCCCCTGCCACCTCTGAGATGGAACCTGGACAAATATCCAGTCCACAGGGCAGGTGTCAGAGCGGTCTGACTCTGGGGTGAGGGAAGCTCAGGAGAATCCCCAGAGTGCCACATCCCTGCCCCAGTCTCCTGGTATGTCATGTCCTCTTTGGTACCACGGGGGTAGTTACATCGACCTCCCAGCAGGGCAGTGAGGAGCAGCTGAGGAAACTCAGTGGAAGGCCCGTGGCCGTTTGGAAGGTGCCACTCCCCTGTGCTCCGAGGTTTTCCCACGGGACCCTCACCACGTGTGCTCGTTTCCACATCTCCCCAGCTGGAACTGTGGCCATCCTTTCTTATACACTTGGTGGCCAAGTCCCACTCCTCCGGGAAGTCCTCCTTGCCTGGCTGGACCCTTGGGCCCCCTCTGTTTGACACACCACTCCTCACTCACGGTCTCCGAGGAGGGGAGGGCTCTCGGGCAGAGCTTTCACACCTGACCGAGCCCTGGCACTCCCACAGGTACGAGGAGGAGATCAACAGGCGGACCGCCGCTGAGAATGAGTTTGTGCTGCTCAAGAAGGTGAGGGGTGCGGCTGTCCCAGAGGCTGGCGGGAGTCGACGAGGCTCTCTACTCCCCATCAGGAGACAAACCGGTTCACCAAGAGCGTGAAGAAAGGCAGAAACAAGCCCCCGTGAGGCCGAGGCAGGAGAGAAGGGATACAAAGGCGGGAGGAGGATGGCGAGAGCGCTGGTTATGCATGCGCATGTGCATGGGTTATCCATCCAGCGGCTCCTTCTGCCTGGAGTACTGCGGGGCTAGGGGGGCTCCCTTAGGGGGGCTCCCAGCACAGCCATCAAGATCTGGCTCAGACAACAGATGGAGGGCCCACAGCACCCACCCTGGCAGAGGGAGCAGGTCCAGGGGGCCGGCTGGGCCGGACCTCTTGCTCCCTCATTTTCTTGCCCCTGAGCCCACCGAGAGAGCAGAGGGCTGGCTGCGTGGCCTTGCCTGCTGTGCAGGACAGCCAGTCTGGGTAGGGGTGTCTTGCTGGGTCCTCACCGGCGTAACCGGTCAATGGCTTGGGCATCTTTTAGGATGTCGACGCGGCATATGCCAACAAGGTGGAACTGCAGGCCAAGGTGGACACCATGGACCAAGACATCAAGTTCCTCAAGTGCCTCTTTGATGCCGTAAGTCATCTCCACTCCACTGGTCTGGGGGTGGAGCTCTATTCGTGGGGCTGGGAGAGCCCCAGAGGAGGGGGAGCCCCACGTTCACACTTCAAGGTCCGTGCCAATTCCAAGCGGCCTCTGAAGCCCCACCCTGAAGCCCCTCTCTCTGGCATGGCGGTGATCCGGGCTGGCTCTCAGTGGCAATAGCCTTGGGTTTTGACCCTTGAGGTCCACACCACTGGCATGTGCCCGCCTTGCTTGTGGGCGTGGGAGAGGCTGCTCCGTGGGAGACCAGCCCCAGGACCACCCCTGTTTCCCTCGCAGGAGATCACCCAGATCCAGTCCCACATCAGCGACATGTCCGTCATCCTGTCCATGGACAACAACCGCAACCTGAACCTGGACAGCATCATCGCCGAGGTGCGCAGCCAGTACGAGGACATCGCCCTGAAGAGCAAGGCCGAGGCCGAGGCCCTGTACCAGACCAAGGTGAGCCGGACGGAGATCCGGGACCCCGCTGGCCCCACAGCAGAGGCCAGGCCTATTCATGTGGCCTGGGGTGATGTCATTCTGCCCCCATGATGTCACCCGCCAACCCCACGCTGTGGTCTCAGTTCCAGGAGCTGCAGCTGGCAGCTGGCCAGCACGGCGACGATCTCAAGAATACCAAGAATGAAATCTCAGAGCTCACCCGGCTGATCCAGAGGATCCGCTCTGAGATCGAGAACGTCAAGAAGCAGGTCAGGGGCCCGAGCATACGTGGGGCTGGGGAAGGGGGCCAAGGGGGGCGGCTTCCAGCTTTCGGCCAGGAGATTGGAAATAGCCAGTGGGGCCATGGCCTCAGACCAACTGACCAGGGCAGCCGGGAGCCAGCTTGTCTCATGACCTCATAACCTTTGAAGCGCCTACCCCTGGCCGGTCTTCTGTAACTGCCCAGGCGGGGCTGGGCCCCACCCCTTCTCTGCCTTCCCTTGCTCTCCTGGCACCAGGGCTTGCTGGGCACTCTCCATGCTTTTGGAAACCTGCCCACCTCCAAGTAGGTCCCAAGGCTTTGGGAGGCAGCGAGAGAGCTGGCTGCTTGGTTAAGCCTTGTTTTCCCATGTGGCAAAGTCGGGCACATATTAGAGAGGGGCTTTATTCATAAAGGCTTGTGAGTTGAATGACTGAGAAGAAGAAATGAGCTCAGAGGGCAGCCCTTAAGGGGCCCCCAACAAATAAGCAGGGGGACCTGCTGGGGGCCCCTCTCAGGACTATAGGATGCAGCTTCCGTTTTAAGGCGGTGTGGAGAGAGGGAAGCTGTACGTACCCATAGCAGCAATCACAGCAAGCCCATCATCCCTCCACACTGAACCCCTCCCCTGACCCCGGGCGGCAAGAACCATTAACCCCGTTGTTACAGATGAGAAAACTGAGGCTCAGAGAGGGTCAGTGGATGATACAGTCAGTCGCCCAGCTGTGACTTGCACCGAGCTTGCCTCACTCGCAGCCCAGTGCTCACCCAGCTCGGCACACCCCCCACCCCCCGGGTGAAACACTTTGTGTCTCTGCCACCTTGGGCTCGTGGCTGAACCTCCCCTTGCAGGCAAAGCCCCGAGTAAGGTGTAGTGGGTTGCGCCTGGGGCTGCTTACTGTGAGGTCGGCAGTCGGAAACCACCAGCTGCTCTGTGGGAGAAAGAGGAGGCTCTCTACTCCCGTAAAGAGTTGCGTTCTTGGAAACCCACAGGGACAGCGCTGCTCCATCCTATAGGGTCGCCATGAGTTGCAGTCGCCTCTATGGCAGTGAACTTGGCTTTGAGTGCAGTCCTGCTCACAGCCAGGGCGTGGTAATGAAGCGCTTCCCTGGGAGCCGCCCTCCCAGTGCCCTGGTCTGCGGTCCTCTGCAGCCGAGCAGCTGCCGCCGTGGCACCCACCTCACCATCTCACAACGGCCTTGCCTTCCAAAGCCCATCTTACCCTTCCTCCCTTTGTATCCTCCGCACAGTGTGCCGAGTGGGTGTCTTTGCATCCCGTGCTGATGGGCCACCTATCTCAGGGGAGGGGTGGTGACATCACCGCTAACGCCTAGACACTCGAGGGAGGGCATGGAACCAAGGAAGAACTGGTCCTGGTGGCAGGAAGCATCTGGGTGGGGACCTGTGTCCCAGAATCTCAGAGAATGAGAGGGATTGTGATGTGGGTGACTCCCAACAACCCCTTCCGGGCTCCTCACATTTCCAGTTCTCTCTGTTAGGCTTCCAACCTGGAGACGGCCATCGCTGATGCCGAGCAGCGGGGAGACAATGCCCTGAAGGACGCGCGGGCCAAGCTGGACGAGCTGGAGGCCGCCCTGCACCAGGCCAAGGAGGAGCTGGCCCGCCTGCTGCGTGAGCACCAGGAGCTGACCAGCCTGAAGCTGGCCCTGGACATGGAGATCGCCACCTACCGCAAGCTGCTGGAGGGCGAGGAGTGCAGGTGATGGTGGAGCAGGGGGTTGGGAAGAACCAAAGAGGAACGTCCAGCACGTTCATCCAGGGAGCAAGGAGGCCTGAGGAGGGTGGGGGGTGGGAGGAGTAAGACTAGTAATTCACGCCCATGAAGAGTCCCTGAGTCGTGCACAGGATGAACACACTCAGCCGCTGGACAGACCCAGAAGTACTTCCAAAGGGAGCCCTGGCGATCGGCTTCTGAAAAGCCAGCCCCTGCAAACCCCACTGAGCACCGTTCTCACCCCGACAGCTGTGGGGCCACCATGAGCCGAATTCACCGTGACAACCCTGCTGTGTGTCCCCCAAGGCTTGAGTGGTTCTTTCACACCAGGCACTGCGCAAACTACTTTCCGTGGATTGGCCCATGCGATCCTTACCACTTCCCTAGGTGCACCTGGGGACACTAGATCTAGTGTCCGAACCACCACCCTCAGAGACAGCACCCGCAGCAGCCTGCTAGTGCGTTAGACTTTCTTCCAGCTTCCTTACCTGCTCAGGTGCAATCAATCAGGGCCATCCCGGAGAAGCCTTACTAGGCTCCCCAAAGTCCAGCATGGTGTGGGAGCCTAACCCTTGGCAAGAGTGCACATTTCATTTCATGCAAACTATTCTGGGACTTGGGGAGTTGCCTGGTTCTTCCAAAGAGTCACGGTTGACTCCCAAGTAGCTCAGATTCTTCTTGCAGTAGGGAGCCCCGGGGTTCAGACGCCATTCAAGCCCACAGCATCACCAGCTCTGAGGGTTCCCCCTCGGCAGCCTCCAGGCAGAAAAACCTGACCCTCTGATGACTGACTGTGCTCTCTCATTTCTCTCCTTAACAGGATGTCGGGAGAGTTCCCCTCCCCTGTCAGCATCTGTAAGTACTAACGTTCTTTATCCTAAAACCGTAGAGTCTGAGGGCTATAGAGGATCTGAGACCAAGATGGGGCTTTGGACTCCCATGAAGAGTTAGTCTCAGAAACCCACAGGGGCAGCTCTACACTGTCCTACTGAGTCACCATGAGTCGGCAGTGAGTGTTTTTTCTTTAGAAGATCAGAGAGGGAAAAGCCTTGCCTAACATCACACAGCAACCACCTGGGCTGAGGCACGGGCAGAGCTCAGGTTTCCAGACTCCTCGCCCTCATCACTCGGCTGCTTCCAGGGCATGGCAGTGAGGGGGGCCCAGTGCCTTGGAGACGGGGACACATGGACATTACAAGAAAAATGCTTTATGGATCTGTGTGAGGCCAGGGGAACTGGAATTGGGGAGTTTGGCTCAGATCTGGGCTGAGAAATCTGAGGAGGCAGGAAGAATCCAAGAAAGGGGATCTTAGAGATAAAAACTACTGGGGCTCTGGGTCCAGCAGAGACTGATAGAAAGGTCGGCGGCGAGTACCCCAAATCAGAGGTGAGCGTGTTGGTAGCCAGACCCCCCAGAAAGGTCTCTGAGGTGAAATGGTGCGAGGATCAGTCCTGGGGTGCAGGATGCGCAAGGAAGTGTGTTTGGGGCCTTTTCCCTCTGTGGGACAACTGGCCCTGCCCCATCTATCCTGAGGGGGGGAAGCCTCCTCCCGTCCCTGCATCCCCCAGCTCCCCTGCACAGACCTGACCGAGGCTCTCTTCCACAGCCATCATCAGCAGCACCAGCGGTGGTTTCCGGCCCAACTCGGTCAGCGGGGGCTATGTGGCCAACAGCACGAGCTGCATCTCTGGCGTGTGCAGCGTCCGCGGCGGGGAGAGCCGGGGCCGTACCGGTGATTATAAGGATGCCCTGGGCAAGGGCTCCAGCCTGAGCGTCCCCTCCAAAAAAGCCAGCCGATAGAGGGGAGCCCCAGCCTTCCCGCCACGCCCGTGACCCCACTGTGAGCCCCACGCTGCCCTTCCCCAGCCCTCTGTCATCTCTGCCTGCACCTGTCTGCACCCACTGGCCCTGCTCGTTTCTCCCAGCCTGTGTCTCCCTGAACCCAGACAAGGCTGCACTATGCCACCTGGGGAAATGCCTCTGCAAATTCCCGACATTCCCCTCCTTGGCTGCTGGGCCCGTCACACCTCCGGCTTGGATCCCAGCTCCCTGGGTCTCAGCTCGAGGTCCTCTCCCACACTGGGATAGAAGGAAGCTGAGTCTCCATTTATGAGGAGGAGACCGGCGGACAGGCAACCAAGCGTGGCCAGGGCCCCATTCAGCCCTGGCTCCGGCCCACGGCTCACTCAGAGCAGGTCCCTTGCTTCTCCCTCCTTCATCTAGAAGCAGAGGTGGCACCCCCCCCCACACCCTCTGGTTCTTAAAGACCCACCCTATTGCATGACCAATAAACAGCACAATCTGATGGCTTGGTCTCCAGTATTTGTTTGTGTGTATGTGTGTGTGCAGGCACCCCAGTGCAAAGAATCACATAAGCATGCACTACATATTCCCACCCACACAGCAAACCCACTCACATGCAGACATGCAAACACAGGTGCACAACACAAACCCATGAGCATGCAGCCCCACATAGCACTCACATTCACACCCAGCACGCAGACGTGCAAAGACATGCCCACGGACACACTCAGATGCCGCAAACACACACAGGAGCATGCTACAGCAGCACAAATACACACACACACACAGGAACACTCACAGTACATGAACACAGGTGCATGAACGCACACTGCACAGACATACACACATGAACACACTGCACAGACATCCCCACACATGGACACGCATGTACTACACATGATATCCACACACAGCACATGCAACACAAACATGCAGCACACTGGATCAGTCAACATGCAGACACGCTGCGCAGACACACACACACTGCACAACCATGCACACATGTGAATATATGCACACTGCACAAACACATAAACCTCCAAATATAGCACACAGACAACACCACACAAATGCACACACGGGAACAGTCACAGCACGAAGCCACACACACACATGAACGCACACCACAGCACAGACGCGCATAGGAGCACACACTGCACAAACACGCAGGAGGACATGCACCGATAGACAGCCAGCAACATGCGCATACACCACACGGCACACACATGCACACACAGGAAAGCTCGCAGCACACACACAGCATAAGCACACGCAGCCCTGAGTGGTGCCGATGCACCCGTGTCTGGAGGTTCCTGTTCTCCGCGGAGCAGAGAAAGCCTCTCAGTCCTCGCGGCAGTGGAACTGGGCGTGGAGCCTCTCTGTGGCAGGTCTCTGGGAGGAGGTGAGGAGAGGCGGAGGAGCAGGGCGATTTCATATTCGTGACTTGGTTTGTAACTTTCAAGAGTATCGGCCGTGCCCCTGACGGAGCAATCATGGTCCTGCCCAGGCCCTCTTTTGAGATCCTTCCTAAGCAGGAGAGTGGGCTCTTGGCAGAGGGACATCCGCATGGGTCCCACCTTCTTCCCTGACCCAGGCCTGGCCCCAATAAGAAATTGGAGCTGAGAACAGTTGGCCTGGAGGGTGGGCTTAGAAGCAGGGCTTCAAAGTGGTTCAGTCCAGTCACGACTGACAGAGGTCACAGGCAGGGACCCGGTTTTGTAAAGTGGGTGAACTGGGACACTAACCACCTGGGAAACGTTTCAGGTCAAAGTCCTCCTGGAAACTCCGCCTCCCTCTTAGAAAACAAAGGCAGCTGACCGCTTCTTTCCTCCTCCCCACGGCCCTTTCTAACACCTCAAAACCCCAACCCAGCCACGCCCACAGCCCTGGTGTGGCACCCACAGAGCTGCCCTGAGGAGCCCTGGTGGGGGGAGTTGGTTCAGTGTTAGGCTGCTAACTATGAGGTTCAAGTGTACGAGCCACTCGTGGGAGACAGATGAGGCTGTCCGCTCCCATATTTACAATCTCCAAAACTCCAGGGAGCAGTTCTACTCTGTCCTATAGCATTGCTATGTGCACGAGTCCTACGCTGCGCAGGCCACCCAGAATCCCAGGTGGCCGCCCGAGGGGAGGAGATGGAAACTGGGTTCATGGAGCACCTCCTGTGGGCCAGCCTCTCCCTCCGCTGAGCACGCCACCTGTGTTTACACTCAAAGGTGGACATTATTTTGCCTAAAACACCAGCAGCTTGCTCAATCCGGTGCTGCAGAGCCGGAAGATGGATTAGCCAAGATTCAGTCTCTCCAAAGCCCACACTCTTTCCATATCGCCACCCTGCCTCCCGGTGTGAGAACAGTCTGCTGTCCACCAGCTGCTGCCCAGTTCCACCCTCCTCTGTCGTCCTGGAGACTCACTGCCCACGTCCCAAGCCCTGGGCTGGGCCTTCTTTGCCCTTACTGTCAGGCTGCCCACTCTGACTTCCCTCCTTAAGGCTGGCTGCAAAGCTGTGGTCTAGTATCATCTAAAAGTCCTAGAGGCTGATGCCCTCAGGGTAGGGGAGGGCAGGGAAGCCCCCAGCTCCCAGCCCACTGATCTGTGCCTTGAAGCCCCAGACGTCTTTGGCAGAGCGTGGGCATCGCAGATCCAGGAGGGCGGTGGTGGTGGGCTGCGGGGTGGAGTTGCCCTGGTGTAGGCTGAGTCGGGGTGAAGGGTTGAAACAGGTGGAAGGGCAGTCTATCCTGAGAAACCGGCTGGACCCTGGGAGCAAGTCCTGCATCGGAAGACCATCTAGAAGAATCTGGACAGGCAGGAAGGAGATGGCTAGCGTCCATGAGTGGCCTCTTCTGAGTCCTGTCCTCCCTGCAGACCTCGGCGTGGTGGCCAGGCCAGCCCGCTGGAGATGGTCACCCCTTCGGCAGTCCCCCCTGACATAGTTGTCCCAAATTTCCGAGAGTTCCCTCTCCGGAGACTCCAGAGTCCTCATGCCTCGCCGCCTTGCTCAAGAAAACGTCCACTTTGTGTCTGACCTCCCTCCAGCTTCCTTCCCCTGCTTCTCAGCAGTGAAGACGGCTTCTTACACTGCTCACCCCCCCTGGGACCCCTCAGGGCTTCCACAGCCTGACCACAAGGAGCATCCCCAATTCTCTGGAGCCTTCGCCCCCATGCCCAAACTCTACAACTGTGGCCCGATCGCGACAGCTCAAGGAGTTATTTTTGAGTCAAAGCTCCATCCTTTCTCCAGCGTGGCTAGTTCCCGGTCTGCCCCTTCCCTCCATTCCAGACTGGAAAACAATCGAGGCTCATGGCGGATACTCCTGGAAAGGGGATCAACAGCCACAGACCATCCAAACATTCACAAGAGGCCAGAAAACAGATCATTCAGAAGGATGGATGGTCCGAGGACGAGTTCCGTTTACAGCAGCGGTTCTCCCCCTTCCTCATGTCACGGCCCTTTCATACAGGGTCTCATGTGGCGGGAACCCCAACCATAACATTATTTTCGTTGCTACTTCAAAACTGTACTTTGCTGCTATTATGAATTGGGCAACCCCTGGGAAAGAAAGGGTCGTTCAGCCCCCAAAGGGGTTGCAACGCATGGGTTGAGAACCGCTGACTTACAGGGAGGAGAAAACTTACCTCTAGGTCCCCCTGCCCAGGCGGGTTTCTGTGGTGGGTGCATCTTTGATGGCTTGGAACGCAGCCTGGGAGAGGAGAGAGGGCCCTCTGGGTTGCCATGGGAAACCTCAGAACAAAGCATAAGCTGATGAATCATCTCCTCTGATTGCTCCAGGGTTGCATGGGACAGGAGGTAGGTGGTGGGAAGATTCTTATTTGACTTTTTCCCCCTCGATAAGCAATGGAGCATCAGAGAAGGAGGCCCCCCCATGCAGGCTGGAGCAGGTTTGACAAGAGAGTTGGTGGGGACACCAGCCTTCTGCCATTCTCAGCAGGTGAGTCCAACCCGGCCCTATAGTTCCCTCCTTGGCTGGCAGTGGTAGAGAGAGAGCATCCCTTCCACTTGGTGAGGGCAGGAGGTTGTGGGGGCACTGCCCTTCGTGTTTTACAGGTGCACCTAGATAAATGTCCCACCCAGCAAAGGTGAGCATTGAGAGAGTGCTGAGCAGGCCCCGGATGCTGCCCACCAAAGGACCCAGATCCCGAGGGTCCAATCAGATGCCAGCACTGTCCCTAACTGGCCTTTTAAACAGGAGCCCTAGTGACATAGTGGTTATGTATTGGGCTGCTAACCCCAAGGTCAAGAGTCCAAAACCACCAACTGCTCTGTGGGAGAAAGATGAGGCTTTCTGCTCCCGTAAAGAGTGTTTACAGTCTCAGAAATCCACAAGGGCAGCTCCGCCTGGTCCCCCAGGATGGCTGTGAGTTACAGCGGGCTCCGAGGCGGAGAAGTGTGTGTTTTCTAGTTGTCATTTTAAAAAGCAATAGCCGCCGGCGACCTTCATCATTTCAAGAAAGAAAGCGATATTTCCGCAGGGAGAATGGCCGTCGGCTGAGTCCGTTTAGGTTGAGGGACGTGAGTGCCTCAACACACTTGTGCAACACACTTGTGCCCTCTCAGGGTACTTCCTTTGCTCAGTCGGCTGCAGCCTGGAGAACAGTGCAGGCGTGCCCCTGCCAGGGCATCTGCTGTGCAGTCTCTCTACAGCTCAGCATCCTCTGTGTAAAGCCCGCAGCCCGCCAACTGCATGGTGTCGGGGGAACCATCACCAGACACACGCGGGGCAACGTGGGGCACACAGCATGATGGCGACACCTCCGTGGACAAGTGACCACCACAGGACAGCTCGGGGGAGGGCTGAAGGGCGTGCACGCTGGTCCTCAGACTCCTGGCAGGGTTGTCACTGGCTAGAGAGTTCTGTGTCTGTTTCCTATTTGCAAGCATGGAGGTCCTGATAGCAACAACAGTAACCACCGCAATGGGTCCCTGGCCCGGCTGTGGTTGGATGAGGCACTGGAGATGTGGTTCTGGCTGCTAGGTG